AGTTTTTGTATGAGTTTTTGTGTGATACATTTGTCAAAATAAGTTCTTTTGCTCTCTTTTTGACTGATTAAGCTGTTTTGCACTTTAGCCTCTATTTTTGCGGTTGTAAAATTTGTGGAGCCCAACTGTGCACTGTAATTGCGCTAAGCAGGAGTAGCTGTTTGTGAAAGCGGCAGTCAACAGGTGTCCACTTTTTTCAGGTGGTTGTTTGTCTTGTCAACCAGCGCCGCATGACTTACTAGTAAAAAATCATTTTTTGCAACAGTTTTTACCATTTTTCCTAAACTTTAAATAAAGTTGTCAAAAGTTGCTCTTAAACTAAAAACAGCAAACTTGAATCAAAGTCTGAAAGCAGCAGTAATAGCAGCAGCAACAACGACAGCTCATTCACAAGTCTCTTAAACTTCTTTTTTTATTGTTTGCATCAACCTGATCAGAAAGTAATAAAAAAAGTAAACTAAAAAAAGCTGAATTAGCCGGCCATACGTGCGTTTTTTCACACTACAAGTCGTGTGGCACACTTGACTGGGCTCATTCTTGCTTTTGCCTCTATCTCTCTTCCCCTCTCTTCTTTAATCAGCTGAGCAAAGATCACCGCCAGCAATCGGATTTATTTTACAGTCAGGAAGGAAACTGAGCTGCACACACTGCCGACTGGCCACTGATTCACATTGTGTAAGTGGGAAACACAAAATAAAAAAAGAAGTCGGCAGAAAGAACAGCCTTCAAAACCTAGCAAACAAGTGCAAAGTGTGCTGCTCAGGTGCACACTACACCACTAAGAAAGCGACACAACACTGACTGCTTTTTCCTCCCCAATTTTTTTTCATTAGGCATCTCATCTCTCTCTTCTGTCTGTTTGGTGTCGTCCACACATACACACACACACACTACCATTACCTTTCTTTGCTTGTTTGCCTGCTTGCATCGTGTGATGCGTTCTTTTTGTTTTTTGCTGTGTTGCTGTTTGTATTGTTGCTGCTGATGATGCTGATGCTTCCGATGCGTTCTGGGCTCATCCTCAAACCAAACCCGCGCCTCAACTTTGCAACAGCAAGTCTGCAGCAGCAACGCTGAGCAGAACGCCGAGCCCAGATGATGTACGCCACTCAGGTAGAAAAGACACAGAGAAAACAAAAGTCAGACAGGTAGGCAGCCAGCTAACCAAGCCTGTTGCCGCCAAGCCCTGACGCAAGCAGAAAACGAAGAAGAAGCTGGACACACACCATCCAAGTGTTTCTCTGACTGTTGCTGCCTCTTCTTCTCTGAGATTAGTCGACTTTTTTCGTCTTCTTTTTTGCTGTCGTATCTCAAAAAGGCAGAGTGTTTGTCTGTCTGTTTATTTGTTTGTTTGCCTGTTTGCTTGCCAAGTGTCTGTCCTGTCAAGTGTGTGTGTGTGTGCATTGCTGGCCAAAAACTGCTATTTTTATTAATTAGAAAAAACAAGAGCAGGCGTTTAAGTAAGACTGTGTGTGTGATGTTTAATAAAGAAATGATGCAATTCAGTTTGGAAAGTGAACTAAAAAGTAGCGAAGTAAGTTGAGCAGATGCAAAAAAAAGAAAGAGAAAGTGGACTGTGTGTTATTGCAAAAATTTTCCTTTTTGAAACAAATGCGCGACTTACCTAACTAATTCACCAAGGCTTAGTTGGACAGCAAATTTTTTACTGCTTTCGGCTTTAAATGTAAAAGAATCAAAACCTAAAACCAAACTGTATGATGATGATGATGATGATCATGATGGCACGATCTGTCCATCACACAGCAGTGTAAGTAGTGTCAGGGAGAGTCAGCAGTCAAGTCACACGGCACTCGTTTTGGCAGTCTTTCAAGAACATCTCACAAAACTTTCATTCAGTCAGTCAGTCAATCAGTCAATCACAGTTCGATCAGGAGTTTTCTTAGGGTTTGGGCAACATTTTTTGCCGCATGTCTTCTCCTGATCTGTCAGGTTTGTTAGGTCACCACCAGCTAGGCTAGTCAACCGTTCAGACAGACAGACAAACAGACTGTCATTGAGAAGACCCTCTCCATTTCTTACTCTCTTTCTATTATTTTTTAAACGTAGCAGACAAGTGTTTAAAATTTTGCAAACTGTGAAAAATGTTGTCAAAAAATGCTAAACAAGTGTAGATTTTTGTTGCTATTTTTTAATTCAACAATGTTTGTTAACAACGGCAAACAACAAAAACAAGTGTAGTGCACAAGTTTCCTGTAAAACGATTTTTGATTAAAAAAATTACGTTTTAGCAGTGCATTTCAACTGATTTCAAAAAAATAAAAAATATAACAGGATAATCTGATTATCTGTTTTGCAACTAACGTTATTGAAATTAGTAGTGGTTTACAATTTAAAAAAATATTTGCAAAATGTTCAAAAGGCGAAATGTTATTTGATAACAGGTGATCATTTGCGTGAGTGTTTTGCTTCAAGTAATGTCCGGCTTGCAGTAATCAAAACTATTTTTTTTAAACTTTTATGCTTTATTCAATTAAAATTTCTTAATTTTATTAAAAAATCTTTCTTGCTCAAAGCACAAACTTTTTTTGATAAACTGTCTGTGAAAATACTTGATGAGTTTGATCTGCATTAGTTTTATTTTTTACATTTCTTTATCAAGTGTTAGTAAATCCGGTTTTCTAATCTCTGCTTTTTTTTGTAAATTTTGCTTTACAGAAAAAAACTTGTCAAATAGCTGAACAAAATTTCTGTCGGCAGACTTTTCTGTTTCTAAAAATCACAACACAGCATCTGTGTTTTGCAGTGTACAACTTCACTTGATTTTACGACTGTACTGTACTGTTAGTGAATCCAAAGTAAATGAAAAAAGGAAAAAGAGCTTAATAATTTATCGAAACATTAATCAAGTGGTGATAATTTGGCGTCCTCTTCTCTACAGTTAACTTGATTTGCAGATGTTGTCAAAATAAAATTATCCGCGTGTGTGTCTGTAAGTGTTCAGTGTGCCATCCTCTTCTCCCTTGCTGTACTGAAGGTGTCCTTCACTTGGAAGTAGCGCCAAAGCGAACCGTACTACTCACATCGGACAACATTTTCAAACAAGATTAACGAAAAGATGGTGCTGAAATGAAAAAATAGTAAACAAGTGAGAAAGTGAGAACTTGTGGTCGTGGATGAACAGAAAGGATGTGAAAAACGTGAGTGAAAGAGAAAAAAGGAGAAAAGTTGATAAAATTTGATCTAGCAACGAAAGACAGCAGTCAAGCAGAGAAAAGTAAACAGCGTAAACTGCTCAAGTTTGAGTCATTTTAGAAAATCATTAAAAATTTTTGTAGCATACGATTTTTAATGTCACTTCAAACTGAAACACAAACAAACAAACCAGCAAAAACAACTAAACAGTTGCGCAATAAACTAACCAATTTGTTTTTTGTATAATTTCAGATTCACTCTGATTCAACTGGTGAACACACACACACAAAAACACATCACCTCTTCACCCCTTTTTCATCGCCTTCACCTTCCCTTCTGATCATCACCATCACCTTCTTTGCGAACAGCGCACCCCCCGGCACCTCCCCCCACCGGCAAGCTGCACTTCCAACAGTACCCCCATCCCCACCATCACCCTCATCACCCCCACCACCATCACCCTCAGATGAGCAAGATGAGCGCCGGCTCGTCCGCTGCCGCCGCCGCCGCCGCCTCGCCCTACCTCAACCACCTCTCCAGTGCAGCCGCCGTCCACGCCGAACAGCAGCAGGCGCATCTGATGCAGGTGGCGGCGGTGGCCGCCGCGGCAGGGGGCGCTGCCGCTGCCGTCGCCTACGGACGGGGCAATAATGGAGGAGGCGGAGGCGGAGGAGGCAATGGAGGCGGAGGCGGAAACGGAAACGGCGGCGGCAACAACGGCGATCTCTCCAGCTCGGCGCTCGGCGCCGTCGACCTCAAGTACGCAATGCACCAGCAGGGACTGGTGGCCAACGGCCACGGCCTGGGACCGCAGTCACACTGGCCCGGCTCACTCGCCGGCAGTCTTCAGTCATCGATGGGAGGCGGAAATGGAGGAGGCGGAAACAATGGAAACACACTGCTCGGTGGCGGTCACCAGTCAGCACACGGCGGCCCGTCGCCGGGCAGCAGCGGCATTCCCTCGCCTCACCAAAGTATGAGCAGTCTGCAGGCGTCATCCGCCGCCTCCGCCTCCTCCTCCTCCTCATCGTCTGCGGCAGCGGCGGCGGCGGCAGCTGC